GACTTAGAGTCAAGTTGCTGTCGTAAGGCCCCATCGCAGGGCGACCTTTAATCCAGGTTTCTATTTCTAAAATATGTAGGAGTTTCAGCCATGGAAAAGATTTCTCGTGTATCTTTGGCAACAGAATAAGAACTATTTGATTGCACGTATTTCAACGCTCGAGAAAGAAAATATGCAATAATTGATTGCGACTGCTCCTGTAAATAAAACATTCTAGTAAAAAAGACGTTGACCTTCCTAAGACGCCATATCCTGAAGAAAGTCGATAAAACACCAACGTGTGATCACTGTTTAACGAGCAGCTTTAAAGGTAGATTCGACACTTTTTAAAGCAAAAGAGATATTATTCGAATGAAATTACACAGTCTAGACCGAATCAGACCTTTTTTAAATTAAAAAAAAAAAGATCAAGATGCACAGACACGCGGCTGTGGTCTATGCCGATGTATGCGACCTCTGGTTGAATACTCGCGTAATATTTGTCTCTGTGAAACATCATTTCGTCAGAACAGATTTCTTCTGTCAAGCTTTGCCCCAAAAATGCCCCAGGGAGACTCTTGCGTTGTGTTCCAGAGTGTATTTTAGGAACTGTCTAGTTTCAAGCAGAAAATGCCCGATTTAGCCTTAAAGGTTTTAATTTTAAAATGTAAATGCTATATTAATCAACATCTGCTTTGTGTAGTACTGCTAGCGCGAGCACATTTGGCCTGGAAGATAACTACATAACAAGCATCGTGATGCTGATTTAGGCTGGAAGATTCGAAAATTACAGGAAACTAAATATTTACTTCAATGAGCTAATCCCGTTAATCGTATGAGGGAACAGCAAAGTCAATCTTCAGTGCCAGCCTAATTTTGGAAAAACAAAGAGAAAGTTAAATAAACATTTCTTGTATTCATACATTTTCAACTTACAAACAGATATATACAGCTCCGCTTTGAATATCGCCCACTCTACAAGTAACGATTTTCATTTCAAGGGGCGATAGGTAAGAGAGAATCTCCTGCAAAAATATCAAACGATGCTTAGCCGAGGCGCGAAAACATACAAAACATGATCGTTTGGACGCCGCATTAGACCGCTTATACACGTACGCATGAATTGAGTCGTCCCGTCAACGAGTGAATCAGATTTATTTATGTACATGGTCAATCTAGAGAAATTTAGCAGGGGTATGATGTGGAACATAGAGTACAACAGCTGACCTTAAACATGCCTGCTTTTCTCGTATGTAGTTACGCATACATAGATCTCGTACCTCATTTCTCATTCATGCTCGCATGGCTTCCGTCTGCCTCGCGTTAAAAGGTTCATTTAAAATATATTAAAGTGGCCGTTTATTTAGCTTATGACTTAGGTGATAGTCTAGTCAGTACATAAATTATGCTATCTTTTACCTTATAGATTGATGCATAAGGATAGTACTCTCAGAAAAGCTCTTACTTTCCTAATTGTGTTAGAATTATAGCATTTTTTAGCCTTGATTGGCTTCGTTAGGCGTGGAGCCGTGGCACCGGAAGCTTTGTATAGCACCTTTAACGGCCAGTAGAAAGTTCCTACTGGTATTGCGGTTCAGTCGCTCGCTACATTGACTTAGGCACAACATCAAACGCCTACACCCCGCATTTAAGCCGAAGCATTTGTGAGTCAATCTTAACTTATATAGAAACAAAGATGCCTTCATAGAGCAGTCGTATACGTGCTGTTGCAGAGGCCTAAAATGGGCCTGCTAGTCAATTCTACAATTTTCTTAATTGCTCATCCCACAACTGTTCTATTAACAAACGTAATTTTGAAAACATGAACGCAGTCAAACTTTGTTCCCATCATTGGCTCGGCCATTATGTACTAAAGATTTGCACGACGATCGATTTTAGCTACCTTGTCGTCTATGTGGCCCCGCAGAGCATCGTTTGATGGAGCCGCCAGTCTCATGATTTGAACCCGCGTCTACAATGCACTGGACTGCAGCCCCTTTAACTACTAAAAAATAACAAATTTTCGCTTATTGGCTAGGTTCTGATCGTCGTCTGCGCAAGCTACCGGCGGATAATGGATCTATGTAGACTGCAAAAACCATCGTGGTTTTAAGGAGGTTTGTAAATGACAAACGCGAATTATCTAACCCTAGCCCGCCATAAATACATAACTATTGATGGCAAAAATAGAGTTCCAGACCGTCGAATGGAAAGTTGCTTCGTACAGAGCTCGAGGCAAAGAGTCTCTCCTAGTACCGTTGTTAAGAATGGGTTCCTGCTGCAAATCAGACCCATAGCGTCCACTGTGTCCAGTTCTGCCTATCGAAGCGACAGATTTGCCCCCACAAGAAAACTGAGTTTACCTGTATAGTTAGTGGACTAATGGCTGTATGGTGCTCGCGCGGAACAGCTACGTTCTAAAAGGCGAAAAGCGGACTCAATATATTGACAATTTCCACATCTTTTTGTGAGTGGGGTTTTTTTGTAAACACATGTATAGAAAAATGCCTATATATTTCGTATTTTGAGCGCTATGTTAATAATAGCAATGTACGATGTATGTGGCTATCGTAAGAGATGTTGCAGCTTTCTAAATGTAGTGATAACTATAGGATTTTAATTTCGCCTCATGGAACAAACAGCTAGACGTACGCACAACAAATATCGTATGCACCCTTCTTTGTTAAGTTATAAGTTTATTAATAACTTTTCATTCGAGTTAGTAATTGGGAGTCGGAGTTAAACGTAACTCTGAAGCGTATTTACTTTTTTTTTTTTACATTTATAAACGTTTCTCGCTCTACTAATATCTGAATAATTTCTCCGACCGAAAGACGGTCCAAAATACTCATTCAGTAATATAATACAAGCACTTTTGACATTAATTTATAGCTGATTGTGGCCTTACAAGGCCTAAACTTCTATGGTTGTCCAACCTAGCTCTTGACTCAGTTTGAACCTTTTCGAAGATTGAACCGCGGACATCTTTGAACATTCTCTTAGTACATGACAAATTTTTGCCTATTACTATGAACTTTGAACTATGAACCGCAAATTCTTCGATTGATTTATAGCATAACATCAAGGCAAGGTACCTTCACTTTAACGTTTCTGGAAGACATGTTTAACGTGACTTCGTGAGGCTATAACAAACGTCAGTAATCCTGAAGCTAAGTAGTTTTTTCGTACTCGGTTTCTATTAATAGAATAACATCCTTGTTGTCAATGAAACATTCAAATCATGTAACACATTGTTACTTAATCGGCATCACAAGGATTGCCTAGCTGGCTACGCACTGCGACCCATTCCGACCATTCTCGATCTGTAATCTTGCGTCAGAAAGGGTCGTGCAAATAGGAAGTCACCAAGGTCCCGTGAAACAATTTTCTGATAATAAGACCCTTCAGTAATGATTTATGTCAGATCGTTCCGGCTGCGAACCGTAAACAAACGGTTGCTTTTTTCGCGCGAAAAATCAATCTGAAGAGTCCATAACTATAGTAAAGTTAATGAAGATATGTTAAAGGCACATAAGCTTGATATAATTTTCGAATACATGAATTAAAAAGTTAATACCTGACCATCTAGACGGGAAGCTCTTAATTTGAATACGTATAATGAATGCTCTGCGTCAAGCATAAATACGTTTTAGAGCCTAATAGTTGCCGGTCATTGCATAAGATTCGGTTCCTCAATTTAAGCGGCACTAGGACAGTGGTACGTGTTTGTTTCTTCGACCTGGGGAAGACTAGGCGTACGGCTCATTTTACGAAAGCTGGCAGAGAGTTTTTATTAATAACAAAAGGTTCTACGTTTAGATTATCTTTGTAAATTTAATTTTCCCGCAGCGACAGGTTCATCATGATGACAGAGGAATTAAGAGTGTGCCAGAGGCCGTACCACGTACGACATTTATCGAAAGCTATGTCATCTCTGTACCTTTCCCATACGGAGTGAATTGCTAAGAGCGGTTTACGTCCATTGAACTCAATTGGCATATTACAGCCTGTCTGTAAAACGGTGAGGTACATAAGTGCGTACAGAGAAAGGCTGCGAAAGCCACTATTAGAAGTTATGTGCTTAGCCGGGGCAACGATAAACTTCCTGTTCTCCATCCTCTTCTTCTAGTTTTTCCTTCATGAAATATTCAGATCGTCCCAGAGGGATTCACGTTGACATAATAGCAAATAAGCTGTAGGTTATTTTTCAAAGAGAGAAAATGTCGTTTATGATAAGTCTTAACCGATGATACGTTCGTTTAAGTGCACCGATTTTTAGAAATGTCACATGAACGAAGGAAGTCTATTCGGCACGGGGTTCAGTCGTGCTACTCAATTCGAGGGGTGGTTAGTGGGGCAGCAGAGGGCCACCGAACTCTAAAGCTGTACCGCCGACAACAGCCATAAAGAAACAACAACAGAAAATTCCAATGGCAGTAACGAATGAGTTGGTCCCGCTGCTGCAATGATGACTCTACGGCAATCACAGGTCAGCCACATGAAAAGCTCCGGCCGACAAAGTGAAGATGCCGTCGCTTCGTACGCTGCAACAGCAGCAGTAGCGGTAGCGGCAAATTAAGATATCACTTCGGACAAAACCATCTCTTATTAATGTCGCACCTTCAGCGAATGCCCCTGTTGATGCTGACACACGTAGCCAACCTTCTAGTTGCGTCCACTAATTCATGTGATTTTATCAGAGGGTCTTTGCCTTTCAGGCCCAGCCTTATAAACCCGTGGACAGTACTCAGGCTCTATTAAGGTTCCGCTAGTACAGTGATGGTATACACGCAACCACAATTGTTGTTCGAACATAACAGCGACGGCTGACGCCACAACGGAGGTGGCTAGACGGTCACAATGGATGAAGCTCCGGAGTGGCATATCGACTTAGGCGGTTCTTTCTCATCCTCTCCCCCGGCTCGATAGCAGCGTCGAGCTCACGAGAGGCGGGACTTATACTTCGCGCTGGCCGTCCGCGTTGAAGTCTGTTTGTGTCTATGAACCTTTAGCTCATCAACTTCTCATCCTTTGCAAAACTGTTTCGTTAGTATATAAAGAGTCACGCTTCTATATGAATATCAATCCGCTCTCGCCTTTGAACGAATCTTGTGGTGAACCGGTCTACGTGGATAACAAAAAATCAAGATGACTTCCGTGACTCAAAGTGCGTTGATAATTTTAGTTGTCGTAACGACATGGCCGTGGGCTTCTTTCGCTAGAAAAGTGCAATATCAGGAGTGTAGTAAGTAGACCTTTGGAAATTATTCTGTTTTGTTTTCTAGATCTTTGTACATACTGTGTTATTGTTGTTGATTGTATGTGCAGTATTCGAAGTGAGCTAGGATCCAGATGTGTGAAATAAATCGACTGTGTGGAGATCGAGCTGGAGGCAGCAACCCCCAGGAGGTAAAAACCTTACACAGTTGTAATTATTCGTCGAGAGGTCGAGTCGAACGTTGCTTTAGTTAAGTGGATTGACTGATTGTTCTTATAAAGATGCGTTTATGCATATTTACTGAGTGGTATTATAACGACATATGCTTATATGTTACGCTTTGACGCCAAAGTAAAATTCTATTGAATATCTTGCTTCAAGATGCCTGTTTTTTTTTTGCTTTTATTTTTTCATTTACAAATTTAAATACACATAATTTACTCACACTCCTCAAATAAAGTTTCCATAAGTTAGTTATCTCCACCTGTTGGCCCTTCAGCGGGCTCATGTGTTCACGCATGTTCTCATCTGTCATCAGTGCCTCTGTACGACCCTATCGAAACTTCTCACGCCAGTGATGCTAGATAGCCATTGGTTTCATCTGATACACTATACATTAGCTCTTCTAAAAGTGATGAGCAATGTCAATCTGCTTCTGGGCTTGGGGGAGAGCCTGGCTTGAGGCCACAGTCGAGTAGTAAGGAGTCTGGATTGTCTTCGTGAAGCCGGGGTTGCTGAGCTGGTACTGGACAGCCGGCGCAGCGTAGGCGATCGTTTTCTGGACAGCTGGGGCGGCATAGGAGATCGTCGCTGCGGGAGCTGCATACGAGATGGTTTTTTGAACTGTAGGGGCGGCGTACGAGATGGTCTTCTGAACGGCAGGAGCAGCAGCATAGGAGATCGTCGTGGCGGGAGCCGCGGTATACGTTAGAGTCGACGCAGGGGCGGCGTAGGCGATAGTCGCCGCGGGAGCTGTGTACGAGATGGTTTTCTGTACAGCAGGCGCGGCATACGAGATAACTGGGGCAGGGGCGGCATAAATAGACTTCTGCACAATCGGTGCGCCGTACGAGATCGTTTTTTGGACGCTAGGCGCAGAGTAGGTAACGACTGAACCTGGGGTGTTGTACGAGATTGTTTTTTGTACGGCGGCCGGCGCAGCATACGCAATCGTGGCTGCTGCCGGGGCGGTGGAGACTTTCGTATAGCTAGTGCTCAAAGCGGGTGAAGCAATGGTTTTCACGAAGCCCGGTGCAGAAATAGTGTTCACTTGAGACACCGGTGCGTGGTACGACTGGTAACCACCAAAGCCGTCGTTAACGCCGAAATTGGTGGTTAGTGCGCCACCAAAGGCGGAAACCACCAGACCGAAAGTACATGCAACCGACTGAAACAGGCGCGTTATATTTGGTCAATTAGAATTTATCTGTTTGTTGAAATTTTACATCTCGAAAACTTAAAATAATATTCAGTCGTATGTCGAAATAGGCAAAAGGATTAATAGACATATTGCTCATGCAGAGTAGCCAGTTAAGACTGCCTGTACAGAGAGCTTGACTTCGCGCAATGGCGGTGCAAACAGAATGAATTTGGCAATATGGTCACCGAGAAGATCGAGGCACTGACGTGTTAGAGAGCACATCGAATAGAATGCTCACGATGTACCATCGAAGTTCATCCATTGAAGTTCAGTCACCACTCAAGGCTTCCTTTCGAGATATGTACTCACCAGAGCCTTCATGCTGACAAGCGTCCTCGCTGGAGTTTCTAGCGGGTGATCTTCGCCAACGTGCCGTTGCGATCTAATGCTTCAAACCGTGCACCCGTCCTCTTTTATAGTGATTTCGGCTCAGTATCGTGTCGTCGCCAGAAGCTGGCGAAAAAAGACGAAAGAGAAAAAAAAGGAGGCAGATGAAGATCAAGACGACACCAGACGGAAAGATGGACGATAGAAGATTACGGTTATTTTCAATCCACATTTAAACACGCTGCTGCTGCTATCGCCAAATGTCATCTGGAGGCGATATCAGTTTCGCCAGAACACTACTCTCTGCGCAGCAGAAAACGCTGGAAGGGTTTGTTTTACATTTCTTATGAACGAGGACCAAACCGTGACCGTTGGCGTCTTCTAGATTTGGCGTTTGCCATCTGGGTCGAGGAAAGGGCCAAGGAAAGCTCCTATATGGCTCTCTACGCCGGTTTAGACATGCGCCGATTTTGGTAGAATATTTCTTGATTTTTATTTTGCCGTTGATTTCGGTTCGATCTCTTTCAATCGCTTGTTTTTTTCTGGGTACTCCTTTGTCTTTAATGAGCGCCTGCGGACGATGCTCCCGAGGTTAGCTTCACGTGTCAATGTCTCGTGCTATCTTTGCCGTTGGCAACTATTTTTATAGCACTCTATTGTATGTATCGCTTTGCTCCATGAAAATTTCAACTGCCGTTACAATCGATAATCTCTAGTTTACGACCGATATGGCCCCCATACCAATGAAACAGATGTTTATACACGTACGCTACGGGCAGTCTCGAACAAAGAGGAACGAACGTGTAAACTATATTATTCAATGTCAATCTCGAAATCAGTCGGCAAGTTGAGACCTTACTACTATCTTGCCTTGCGAAGCTATAATCTTTCCTCTGCTGTTGTCGTTAGTCCGTCTTCAAGTCTACCAGGTATATACCGGTTATACTGGTGTGTGGTGTCTATAACTATTACGTAACAGAACAGTACGTAATGGCACCGAAATCCTTGCGCCTGTTTCATATTTGCGCAGTGCCAGGTACGTAAGTTATCTGACGTACACAAATATTGAACAATTACGGAACTTTTGCGGGCCAGGCCATCGGCTTGTTTTGTCGTCTACCTATTTAGCTTGTGGTCCATTCGCCTTCCGTCCTGTAGGATCGCCTGTTCACCAAAAACAATCAAGTACGTCATTTCAAAAAAAAAAACACGAGACACTCTCATCTACCGAATCACAGCCCTCTGTAAAACGAACTAAACACTATTAATCTTATCCAGAATATAAGAACGGTAATATGATTTAAGGGACGTCCTGCTACCGGCCTACCGTTCAAATTTCCCTACAACGGCGGATTTTTATTGCAGCGATCCCGGCGCAGGCCACGGCCGCTAAGTAGAGATACGTGCTGTGCAATCCACATCTACCTTCTTAAGCAGTTAAATGTTTTCGTGGTAATGTCATTGTTATTTTTTGTCTATAGATTGAGTAGCGCGCAGATGAGAAGCTTGTGGCCACAGAAAAACTGAGTCCTAACGACTTGAAGTGGCCTGGCTATAAACGACCGGCAATACTTCTACTGGCCTAACGACGATTATTAATATGCTATTACTTGTGGCCATCCGTTTCCGTTATTGATTCACTTCAACTAATTGAAGCCCATTATTATACTATCTGCCTTTATTTAGCCCATTTTAATAAGGCAATATAGGCGAACTTGAACCTGAATGAAGGCGATCTTGAAGAAGCGGCCGTTGATCAAGTCATTATATTTAAAATTGATTCGAACGGCGTGCCGAATTGAGACTCCTTTGCCTTTACTAATGATATGTATACATCGAAACGTCAGAACAACGGTACGGTTCTAGATATTTGCTTAACAAGAAGATAGGTCTGCGTAAAAAGGTCGCCGGTGCAACGATTATCTGTCGTTCATTCATTTTTGGGTGTAGTTTTCTAACCAGGGCAGTTTCTTTTAAAAATCTTCTACGCTGTCTTGCTTAGTTATCTAAAACGTCCCCCTGTTTTGTGTTGCCGTATTTTTCGTCCATTATCCGTCAGCAGGGACCACTTAAGCGAAACGTGGGCCAGTGGCGATGTTTGTATACGATCGTGCTTCTACAAATTGGGGTTTTACTGTTACTTGATAAGCGTTGTAGCCGGCAGACGGAAATTTCCATCTATCTAGTAACCCAGTAATGTAATCTCAATAGGTCTGTACCGTTATTTACCTCTCTGCAAAACCTTTAGGAAGAAACACCCTAGCTTGATAGATGTGGCGTAAAAGCAGCTAGAAGCTTTAGTGATTGCTTTACGTAGAAAGTTGCTAATGAAATACTGGAGCACGCCTAAGTGTAATAGGACCATTGTTGTCCATAATTCCAAACCTAGAACTTTATTCGTTGAACTGACTGTTAATTTTCTAGCAACTTCTGTTCATTTTCCAGACCCTAAAAGAAACATCAAAATGATGGATGTGGATAACTGCGATGTTCAACCGTGTCGGGTCTTCCATCGTACAACGATAAAGATGACAACTCAATTGAGTTCCCGTAAGTAGTTCTTCATTCCCCATACCCCTTTACTCTATTCTTTCCACCTCTGATATCTATGATGTCATAATATTGTTACGCTTGCGTTCAACCGTTGACCGGCCCATCTCGTATCCTCAAATTGAGTCTTTTTTCTATTTATTCTATTGAGCCTTATCACTTATTATTTACCCAAATATATGTAATCCTCAATTCGCAGTAGCAAGCATCCTTTTTAGTTATGTTAAAAGTTGTTCATTCCTTCGAAATGTCCAGTTTTCTATTTGTAAATTAAACCTAGATTGAGTGATGCTGTTAATTAGTGAAGTAGAATATATTTAAAAAGTATCCATAATTAATATCTGATTTTATTCGGTAGAAGGAATTCGTTATCACCAGTATTAGCATAAACCAGCAATGATAGAAATTCTATTTTTTTTTTCGTTTATAAAATGGCAGAGGGCGTGAACACGGGGCTCGACTCGATATAGAGGGGCTAATCTTCTGAATTTTAATCAAAAGCTTCGAGATCAGGCTGGTTCACGCCATGCTTCCTAGGCTTTCGTGTCGCTTACAAAAAAAAAAAGTTTAGTAAGACCTGATGCAGGTGAAGAATAGGCAAAGCTTAGTGACTCTGCATCAAGGTAGTAACAGTCATAATCGGCAGCAGTTGTATTTCCGTTTCGCACCAAGTCTGAGTTAAGCTATGGCACCGCAGCATACGAAAACGAACAAATGTACGCTACAGCTTCTATTAAGGTTATCTTCTATCCGTGAAATTCGTCTTATTCCATATTCCCCCCACATGTCTCGCGCCCCTTGGTCCTCCCTTATTATTGCCCTCTCACCAGCATATCATGATCACGGTCATCAGAAGCATCACGTAGTTCTGTTCGTCGTTATCGTTTACCTGTCGACTCTCCTCTTTATAATTATCCTATTCTTTCTAAATTCTTCCGCGTATCTTCCTTTTCTCTCGACAGCTGATAGTGCAGCTTTTCATGATGTTGTGCTGCTTCTACTTCTTATTCATCGCCACGTCTGCACACTTCAGACGACGTCGCCTATTCACAGTCACATCGTGCATTCTCCATTTAGGGCTGGCACTTTTCTGATTTCATTATTGTATGTATATACGATGTATATAGTATGTGCTGTTTCTGTTCGAATTTCAATAACAAACTGTGCATACTCTGTGATTGATTCTGCATTGGCCACCGGCAATTGTATTTGTGCCACTGATTGCATTTGATTGCTTGATTGGCCGAAGCGTTGAAGGTCGTTGGGGGCGGTGTGCCCCACTGGTCGGACACTGTAGCAGATGTCGAAGCAAAAAAATTGTGGCGTTGGCCAGACAACGACGATGCCATTACTTCCAGAAGTTGAAAATCCACTAAGACACCCGTTTTTTTTCTGAGTCTGCGTCTTTTCACTCCTCTCCTATATACGTCCTAGCGAGACATAGCAGCTGCGTCATAGTCGTATCGTTCTTTTACTCTATTTGTTCATTATCCAAAGAAAATGGACGACAACACGTCTAGCGTTTGATTTTATCATTTGTATTGCGTTCTATTCTTCGCTAGCCTTTCGCTCGTTTCTGGTCTTTCATTTTCATCATTTTTATTCCCGTATTATGTATTTAATAATTTAACTTGTATACGATACCGTCCTAGACCAAAACAAGTCGATCGATCTAATTATCTCACATATAGTTATTATTCTCTTGATAATTGCGCCAGCAGAGGGCCGCTTACTCTGGCAACGAAGATACAGAAAAGAAAGCGTGTGCTATGTTTTTTGTAATATAAAAAGAACTGATAAGATATTTACCCAGGTTCTCAAATGCGTGATCGCTTACGGCTAACCTTTTATGGAGCTCAATTTACCAGGTCAGATTAACCTATCTGGCGGCTCTACGGGCAATAGCGGCGCGACACGGACGTTCACTTACTATCCGTAACGTCAGAAACCAAGCGCAAATAGACGGCATGTCGATGAACTGTTTATAATTTTGGCGGTGCGTACATATCCTAACTGCTTTTGCTTTGCTACTTTTGCTTAATGATTACAGCCATCAATTCATCGTCTGCTGAGTGGGAGATCCGAGCTTTCGTAAACGGTCGTCCATATGGTCATCCTGAGCCTGTATCCGATGCCTGCCTATTCGTTAATTCAACATCGCCTAATGCGTTCTCTAGTAGCCATCGAACGCCATTGAATTCAGATCAGTTTAAAAGCGGACCCTCGACGGCTTACCGACAGAAATCGTTTCTTCCAATGTGCCCACTATTTGCGGGAAAGATCTACCGTTTTTCAAACGTTTTCTACGTCCACGATCAGTTTCCCAAGGTGAAGCCCACCATGTTCATAGGGGCATAGGGCAGTCTGAAAACAATATCGTAATGACATTTATTGTAATGTCTTGAAACGAAAGGAAGGTCTAGACGGCTGCACATAGGATTTGATCGCATTTGGTCCATAGAAGTTGCACTGCACTTTGATCGTAGCAGGTAGCTATTTCTAATCAAGTTATACTTGAATACCTTCTTCCAGGTGGCGACAACGATACAGTATCTTCTGAGGGGCGATAATGACGAAATGATAGCTTGCGCCAGATTGCATATTCTAATGTCCTCGTAAGCGCTAAGCGTTCCATGCTGGCTACCTTCTACAAGTGTAAGCTTGTACAGGTCGAAATCTCTGGCAGCAGATAGGTAAAGGTTCCGCTTCGATTCCCGTTTCCAAATTCACTACCGATTCTTGATAAAAGAAAAAAAGAAACACAGGAGTTGCTCGTCTTCTCATACGATCAAACAAAGAAAGGTCGTATTTGGTACGCGTATCGGTTTGCGTTGCACTGTGTTAGGAACAACGAGTAAATACCAAACTCCATATGAGCTCGCTAAAATTAGCGACATGACCCCCGTCTTAGCTGAATATGAAGAAGTGAGCATAGCTTATAGGAGCAAAATATTAGGAAAGACAATTCATTTGATATGTATATATTTTTCAAAGGAAATCTGGAGTACAACCAACTGAAAACTACACATTTGTATGTTTGTAAAAGTTAAAAAAAACATTCAGGAAACACAGAATGTCCGTTTCGGCAACTATTTGATGTAATGACCATTATTATAGAACTGACTCGAGAAGGCTCTTAATATGATTTGTAAATTTCAAAACGCATCACACTACTGTCTTATTATGTATATAACGCTTTATATAAGAACAAAAGCGCTCAACTAGGTACTGAGATTATATAGGTAGTATCTATAGGTCGACTATTAAGTGGATTTGTTCGCCTGTAAATACCTCGTACGTAGTCTGCTCTCGTGTGTATTATTATTTATATAATTCGGCGAGGATTTTGCCTAGTCGACAGCCTGTAAATATAGCACAAACGATGTATGTTTTGACTGACGTCGCCAAAAGTCAATACTGTAAAATTAAGTAGCATGCTTAAGCAAGTAAATAAACCAAAATCATTGTATTTACAAGGCAGTATCGTTGGTATCTTTTGTTATTTTTAAATAGTGTGTACTCGCGCTAAGCTCATTGCTGGTCGGCCTTTCTGCGTTTGTCCATGAAACAATATGGAAATCCTACGTCCATTTATATCCAGATGCGGTCGAAATAATTTGGATTCTCAGGGTAGAGGAAAATGTTCTTAAATTGCACAGTTTCGCGTCTTCAAAGCGTCCTTATGATTACAAATCCTGAAATGAACGTATATTTATAGTGCTTAAAGGGTATAGTGTGATGTTAACTAGATATGCCACACTATAAGATATCAACATAAAAAATTAAAACGCTTCATGTGTAAAATCTCTACTAAAAAAGAAAAAAAATGATAAAGGAATCAAGTAAAAAAAGAGATTCTTGGCTTTTCTGCCAAGCCAGGGCGGAACGTTGCAATTTTCTGCGGCAATCGAAAAGCCAAACTCTAAAAATTTGTAACATTTCCAACAACCCTCTTAAGATATTCCCTTTTTTTTCAGAAATAGATATCATACTTATAAGAAGCCGGCAACTTTGCGTCATTAGTAAGTTCCTCATACTGTGACAGCTGCTAAATTAGTCCGTTAGGCAAAAATTGTTCTTTAAAACACTAGATAATTTTTGTTCTCAAGTGTTCGCAAATTCAATCTAACTTTTATTAGGACAGACATAAGGTAGCCCTTGCCAACTCGTTATAGTAATTAACATCTGTCTACGGCCCCACATAAGCTGTCGAGTATGTGTGGGCATCTCCGAACAACTTCCAATGTGGCTCTTTTGAAATAACTTAGCTATATATAGTTAATATAAATTTGTAGCCTTCTATAGATAGTTGTTACAACTACAGCTCTGTCTGTTTAATGGTCATTGAAACCGTTTTTAGATTCTTTAGTGAGATTAATCATGGAGACCTGCTGTTTGTTTGTCTCGAGGGTACTAGTGCAAAAATGGTCAGAAGTAAGGACTACTTTTTTGTATCTACAAGCCTTTTGCTATTGTGTAACTTTTGCTTAAATGAAGATAAACAAGGCGATTTAATAGCATGAAATTACTAGTTGAAAGGGGGTGCAAAATTTCTCGATTTTCCGCTACATTATGTTTTTAACGCTACATCCAAATTTGGCAAAAAGCTAAAACGATATTTCAAAGTGAACTTAAACTTTCATTTATAGAAGTTAAACAGTTTCCTAGAGATGGGAAAAATGGACAAGGGGAAAAACTGTTTATACGTTTAAGATATTAAGTTAATAAATAGTCCTTTACAAGGAAATTTGTTTTCACGTGATCTGTTAAAGTTTAAAAACTATTATTTCCTTAGCGTTTGATGTCCGTACCATACAATAGCTTTTATCGTCTATCAAACGAAGAACCCCACTCGCTCTTTTCTCCTTAATTGGATAGTAATTTCACCATAAAAATTAGAAATCAATCAATAAGTACCAGCTAAGCAAACTTTTTAGAATTTTGAGCTCGTCTACAAATGTTCGAAGGTAACTTTGGACGAGTCGTGATTAGATCTTGTGTAAATCCAATTTTAAGAGAAATACATGCACCCGCAGATAGAGTTCTTATTGTATTAATTAATCTTTCACTAACTAAGTACATTTTTTCTTTGGGTTTCACTGAACCCAATAAGTTAAGTGACCCAATCGCGAGTTTGCGTCGCATCTATTTCTCCTCACTCGCATGTCGTCAAGCTTTGCGTGCTATTTTTCGTATCATTTATCGATGATCTTTTTCCTCTTTCACACAGTAACCAAAAAAACTAGCGCTACGCGTATCCTCTGCTATACGGGCAAATTTGAGTAAAAGCTCGTCTACGATACCGTCACTTGATTAGCTCGTTTCACTTGGTAGAAAAATGCATTTTTAGAAAAAACTTAATGCCGTACGAACTTTGTTATGATGATGATGATAACCACCGACCCAATATACAGCGCAGGTACAGCTCCAATTCGAGTCCTAAACAGCGCACAGACTCGTCGCTTCCAATGCTCCCTTTGCAATCCTGCGAAAGCTTTCTTAATAAAGCCACAGGTGAAAGTTGATGTAACCGTGTCAAGAACTGCTAAACTCCCACTCAATAACGCCTCCTACACAATAATCCAACGGGCTCATATTTGGGCCGTTCCGCGGCTAAAGGGCCTCATCGTAGACTATTCTTATAATCCCAGGTGATTAGTTGGTATCGGCCAGTGCCTTCTTACGATCTTCTTGTACCACGGTTGCACGGAAGTTTATAGAACATGCAGGCAAATTTCTTCAGTGATGCATTCTCCTTGCTGGGAAAAGAATGCTGAAAAAACGTTTTCGTCACCGGGCACCGCACTTGCAACATGAATTTTTTTTTGCAACTTTTGGCATTGATTATTAGAAACTACTTGTTAGAGAGAAATCAAAGGCGGAGAACGATCAGATGTCTTGGTTTTATTATCCTCACGTAGCATCCGTCCAACTATTACGTTACGTAACGTGCACGTATCTTCATGAACCGTCCGCGATATCGTACACTTACTCATATCAAACGTTTTCAAGAATGATCTGACCGAAATCGAATGACTATTAACAGCGTTGTTTCGCTGACGACAACGATCAACTCTAAGGTCCGCACCGTTTTTGTTCTTTGATGGATTTTCTGTTGAGCTACGCTGAAACCTACTTTTGCTGATTCTTCTGCAACAGAGCGCTCATTTGTGAAGCCGTATAGTGTTGACTTGGAAGACCAAAGAAGTATAATCGTTAAAGACTAGAGTTTCGATAATATCCAATCATCCCTTAAATTTCGAAACCGATGCACTGCTATTTTGCAATGACGAGCTTGTTGTAGCAAGAACTGGGTTTCGTCTGGTACAAGTAGTAGTGGGTGAACGCATACGCGTTATGACAAACAGCCAAAATCTATCCCAATTGATTTATCGTTTTCAGGTATTTGTAGCTGAAATTCATACAACTAATTGTATATTCGATGTTCAACCAGAAGAAAAAAAAGTGGCTTCAGATTTTATATATTTGCGCAATAACTATCCTCGCATACACCCCATTTTTGGCTATATCAAGAGAGCAGTTAGACACTTGGTAACGAGACCACCGAAGATGAGGTCACTTCTATTTAATATGATCTAATTGCGTTATTTCGTAATAATCGGAGGTAAAAATGCGTTGTATATTTTATATGCTACCCATGGGATTGGCATTCGAGCTGTACTCATCGATATAACGGATCTTCCAAAAGGCTTCTCAGCCTTTTTTATTGACAAAAAAATATTGAAGCTCTCTTTTTATTTGGGTTCTTCAAGTTGAACTAGTATTTCGAAGTAGCACCGTATTCAGGATAAATCATATTGTCAAAGGAAGTCAATAGTATACTATTTAATTTCCTTTATTACTACAGGTTACTGCAGGAAGTAAGGCCCGCAGTATTTTCTGTAAGTAGCAATACGTCATCAGCAAAACGAACTATCTGTTACGCATCGAACCTGTAGGACACAGGTGACGCGAAATTTAAAATTTATGACACTCTGCAAAAAAAATCCTGATCGGTTTTTCGTTCTGACGTTTTGTGACGAATTATGATTATATCGATGCTTCCTGTCAAGCGCGTGTAGAACAGGGCGCGTTGCTGGTTTCGTCAACGCTAGTAATGTCGACTATTTTGGACGCGCGTCCTGGTGTCCTTATGGTTCTTAATGCTACTGATGGTTGAAAACAGAGACAGCCTAAACTATAAAAAGAATTCAAATTACGAAGTTGCCAATTATATCCGCCTATGCACGTATTGTATGCTATGTGATACTGCGTACAGCGTTCGCACGATTATCCGTAGTGGCAAATCATAAATGACAATGTAACACAATTACATGACAGAGGGGCGATCATTATTGTCGAACAATTGTAACAGCAGAAAGGAAATAGATGCTGCGACGCGTTCACTTAAGACGGTAGCAATCTGGAAGACAGAGGAAAACATTGCTCAACAGTACTATTCGGAGCGTCTTTGGTAAATTCTACATGTTGCAGCTGGACCCAGAAGTGACAAGAACTTGCTCCCAGTGGCAAATGAAACACAGGCATCAACGCACGCACAGATACACGCAAAGACATCGGGCCACCCGGTAAGTTAATGTCCAAGGCAGACTACCTTGGACATTGGCTTACATTTAACGTTGATTTTAGGCGTCTTAACAGTCCGCCGCAATGTTGTTTTGACGTTGTTGCTTGAGGCAGAACGACACACATATTCAGGTAATGGACGATGTGAAAGTACCGGCCGACAACTGATGCTTCGCCAAATCTAGCTGGGAACTGATATCGTCCGCCACTGCTAAAATAAAGAAGGCAATTAAACTGGAAAAGTTTAAGAAGATGCAGGGATTCAGGGAGCCAATGGTTACAGTTGCAACAGCTGAACTTGATATTGCTAAAAGAGAAGATTACAAAGAACAAAGGGGACAATGGACATGCGTAACAGGGTTGAGTCGACAACAACTGATAACGGCAGGCAACGCGTCAACAGCAATAGCAACAAAGCCGAAGCGCTGATGCCGGTCTAAGCAAGCGCGAACGCCACCTGCCGTGGCAGTATTACAGAAGAATATTGCCGAAGTCGCAAGTGAATACGGGGATGCCATCGAAAACAACGACGTCTGAAGTAACAGCACAGCTGAGCCCGAATCAGTGAAAAGCACTGAGGCATCAACAATGGAAACAGAAAAGAAAAAGTATACGCGTAGTAGTGTAAGGCAGTCGCCATGCACACGCACGATGCACTACAAGAGCACTGCGGATGCCCCCGCGCGAAATGCCACCGATCGACAGACAAAGAGACCTGTGTAACTTCCGTCTAACTAGGCGTCCGGTAAAACCATTGTCGTAAGACGTTGCATTTTTACATGCGCGCGCTAGTGGGCTTGTGAGCATTTGTGCTCACGACAACGGTCAACTGCAAGATGGATTTCACCGACTAATGACAGTGAAGATGAAAAATTATTGTGTACAAGATGTGTTTATATACATGTTTTACAATACATGTGAGTGTACATGTCGATGATGGTGAAAGAACCGTTGTGATGCCGGTGTCGACCTTAATCGTGAGATAAGCAGTTTCATGTAACGCCTGCTAAATCAAAATACTAACATCTCTAGCCTAAAAAGAAAGACTACGCTGACAGATAATTGTGCGTCAGGTGATAACAATATCATATCTACTCTTAAATTTGTATTTTTTAGCTAAGAGGATGATCCGCATGCAATCCTGCCATCTTCTCCATGGAGAAATCACTGATAGTGGTGCAGCGTCGATAACGAAACAGGCAGGCGGGCGGGCAAACTGTCTATAATAAATGATTGCGGCCTATATATATATATGACTGGAAATTAAAATTTCACTATTTAATATACACAATAATAGATAATGTTTATTTCATATGGTAAATTTCTGGCTGAGCCGCGACTAAATACGGTTTTGTTCTCTGTGAGCCTCAGCTGTTTTTAAGAGCAGAAGAGAGTCGTGGACGGTTTCCTAGGTTTGAACACTCAATTAGCGCAATAGTTTGCTTTTCTATAAAGGACAAATTGGAAGTCACTGTAAAAGTGGATCCCTTCAACATAATATCTATCTTTTAATAATAGATTGTCAAATGATCGTGGGGTGATCTGCAGGAGCCGCATTCGTCTATTCATTAAATACGGTGACCTCGAAATCAGGCGTTTATCAATTCTTGTTATGCTCAACGAAATGCGGCCATTAAAGGACAAGCTTCATTCGTGTCTACTCTCTAGTGGTATTCATTTTCCAATTTCAATAAAAGTATGTATATATGTACAGAAATCCATCCTACCGACAAGCGGTACACGGAAGAAGTTAAAAGAAAAGATAGAAGAGTATGAATCACGGTTCATTTATTATGTTAATTAAATTCATTTCTCCCACGGAATCGCTGTCCTTAATTATACAGCGTTGTACAAATAGGACGTTCGCTTTCTACTTCAGACGGATAGGTTCAGGTCAGTACTTTCTTCCTATTTTTGGCAAATTCACTTATTTTGACCACCTTTTATGAGGCGGCCATACTCACATACACGCCCGCTTATACAACGATATTTTCAATACGTTACAAAGATTTCGCCAACGCCGCAGCTGCCTCCCTGGGGAAAGTCGGTGCAAGTAGAAAAGTATCATTTTGGTGTAGACGTGTGTACATCGTCATGAATTAGTATCTAAAGAAATTCGACTTTAGATACTAATTCATTTTAAATCAAACGAAAGTGCTTCAGATTTCAGTCAGACGATTTTACTCGAAGGGAGCCAATTCTGAGCCTACCTAACCATATGACTTTTGCTAGCGCGTGGGCATAGCCATCAAGTAAATGCCTGGTCACCATCCAGTTGTTTTGAAAAAGCAAAGACAATCACAAGTATATACAGTTCCAAATCAATTGTGGAACTTTACTATCTAATTCTACATTTTGTAGTATAAACGTCAAGTTAGATATTGAACTGACGGACGTGAAAGCCGCGTTTATGACGTCGCATAGTGCATGCAGAGAATGAACAAAACAAAACAAAACAAAAACAAAAAGACAAACAGACAGAAAGAATGAATATAGAAAGAGACGCATTATTATACATAGTTGCGCATTATTATATATAGTCAACAGAAAGTAAAATTTTACCTAGTTAGGTATAATGAAGAAGAGCGGAAAACAGTATGAGTAGTAGTAGCGGCCACGGTAACGACGGACCTCGCTGGGGGATTTAGGAAAGGGGAAGGGATTAATACATGAGCACTCATGAAGCATAGAGTATTCTATACGGCACTTTTCGTGTACTTCATAGCTTTCGGCCGACGAGATGTAGATGCTGTAGTACATAAGGCCGTCGTACCGATGTTTGTACCAACTAGATTAGATAGGAATATGTATTTCGTGACGTCGGTACATTCTGCCCATCATGGTCGCCTTAATCCTCGCGTTCGCGCCACTGAATGGATTTAAACCCTTCCCCTATTCAAAGTCGCTAGCTGATCCTCACTTCAGCTTCCAGTGTTGAGCTTCGTCTGACGACATCTGCTTACAGCGACAACTGCTCGGCAAAACGACTCTCAGACATAATGCAGAACACATGCTTGTTGTTGTTATTGTTGCTCCTGCTGTGGTTGTTGTTGCGGCGGCGACGGTCCTCACACCTTGTCTATGCTAAACCGTATTCTATTCAGTTCCAGTTGATTGTTGCGAGGTAATTTTCTGCTCTTAATAGCCGCAGCAGAAATGCGACAGCTAGTCAGAGCGCTTTCGACACACGTTGCCCCCTGTTGTTACTAAGAGCTGCACATGAACGTCGAAACAAACCCGTTGCTTTGCCCTGCCCTGCATGATCAAGCCTTGAACTTGGTTTACGATTTAAACGGGTTTGTCTCGCCTTCGTATTTGGTACAGCGTCTGGTGCATCTTGCCACGATGATCGGTGCCAACGAGCGTACCCAGAACAACTACAGCCAAGACGTGGCGACAGCAAAAGGTCATGAAATTGAAGGACTCGGGTGGGGTTCACTGATCCTAGTAACATGATAAAAGCATACGTGAGATATAAAATAATTGGATGCCGATAACAACGGTGGTGAGTTATATATAAAATCTTCTGTTCTGCCTTTTTACTTCAGCATGAAAAACGACTAATATTTATAAGCCGATTTTGAAAGTACGAACAAACAGACAAAAAAAAACACAAGAGCGGCTTCGCTACCCTCCAACATGATGAACACCTGTTTGTTGTTGTTGTTGTTGTTGTTGTTGTTGTTGTTGCATGAAGACCCCCGTTTCCTTTTTAACCTTGTTACCTAATAAATGCTGTTAAATAATAGACTTGACTACTTGACGTGTTTATCTTCTTGTCGAAACGTTGCTGAAGCCTTTGTTTTGCGCGTAATTAGCTTAATTGCGAGACATGCCAATTAAGTTCCTGATACATATACGTACTAGTTCTTAGTTTGATTGTGTATAAATCTGAATTTTAACAATAGCACGGAATGCCTCCATTCAAAATTGCTAAGTCAACGAAGAACTACTTAAGCATGGCTGATCACTTAAGGCAAAATGAGTAAGGTACCTGAACTTAGCACCGTTAGTTCTTCCTCAGGAAATACTAATATCACATGACCTTATAAAAAATAAAGTAACACTTCACGATGAAGTACGCCTTTGAGCGGATGAGAACGAAAAATACCGTAAGCTTTATCGGAACACGAAGAATCAACCCTGCACGATACCAAGCATCGTTGATTCACCACAGAAGTTCGTGTCAAACAACTAGCGACTGCTAAGCCTTTCCGATACCATAGAGGTACTGTCCGGCTGTACTAATTCGAATCCATCCGCAACCAAAGGATCTTCGAAGGGGAATCGCTCACGGCGCAAGTGACTGAATCACCTAGCCAGAAAGGAAAAGCAATTTGAAAAAAAAATTCGAAAGTTCTATTTGTAAAGTATGTATTATAAATAAGCGCCAAAATAAGTATCGTACTAAACTTCTTTTGTAAATTCTACAGTTGATACATTTGTATAGACAAATAAGTACGTAACTGTTTCCATCCTCAAATACAGCAAGCTCGCTAACTTATTCCGATGTCATATATTTGGCAGTGGTGAATTGAATTAAAATACTTTTCACTGATTGGTTTACCCATGGTGAAACGAAATGTTTCTATTATCAAGTGATGAAAAGACGTGTACGGTCGAAATGCGAGATGGTCGATTGGATGCGTACTAGCAGAGGGTTAGATGAGGCGTCAGCATACGCTTTACGAGAAATAGGTAAATGTAATTAACAATAATTATCTCCTTGTCCAAACCTTTCCGGTAGAGGTTTTGTTTTACGGACAGTTGATCTTCAATGAGCCTCCTTGGGTGGGATTTTATCCAGTATGTCAATTTATTCGTTGGCTGTTACTGCTAATAGACCAGCATTAGCCCCCAGTTTCCGGAAGCAGTTAAAATTTTCTATATGGTTCCGTTTTATGTGAACTTACGGTTAGGGTTGCGAACTATATAGCTACAACGTTCTCTCAGGCTGATCTCTCGCTTTTTGCTTGTCTGTGTTTATTTTTCCTGTCCCGGTAAGTTTCAGTGTTGGCAGCGTTCTGCCAGGTAATCGTCTCGACCTATTCATTTTCATCTGTAGATATTCGCTGCATCTGACGGCCTGCGTTCCCATCAACAATGGCTATTGATTGAGAAATCGTCGCTAAGTAGCATAGGCATGTCGCCGTAACTGTTATTAAAATAGTGATTTGAAAGTAACTCAGCTAAGAAATGGGGCTGCCCCTACTGACGTTACGTTCCAGGGGGAGGTTCGTTGGCGCCGTCAAGCTTTCGTAGCCCCAATTAAAATTCACCCATACCACGGTCATCGGCAGCAATAAGTAGCACAACGATAGTTTTTGTTGTCGTTGCTGTCTTGATTGCTACCCCTGTGTGTTGTGTTTTTGGCGAAACAAATGGGATTTCTCCCCATTCCCGCTTTCTCTCTCTGTTATTTTCGTTCGAACGAG